CTTTATAATCTTTTATTCACAATCTCACTTATTCACGCAGATTTACACCTGAGAAGGCATTATAAATGTCTTTTGTGGCAAGCATTATCTTCTATGACTAGACACTTTGCATTTTCACGGCTTAGACATTCCAGCTCCATTCGCGTATGTATTTATGCCAATTATTTATTTCATGGTCACACCGACACTGGTATTCACTTTTATTTTATTTTTCTTTCATGCGTTTTCATGTACCTATTTTTATTTATCGAATATCGTAAACTGTCTGGACTAATAGGTATTTATGTACGCATAAGCACCTGCTCACTTCTGCTGCTTCTGATTTCATTTCTAACACACACATACCTTATCTATGCACGGACACAGATCCATTCATATGTATGTAGGTGTGTTGACTTTTATGTATGCAACGCACGCGAACTCGCACAGATTCAGCACTAATACAAACACAAAATTGTGATTGCTTGCCTAGTTACAGGCGAATTTATACGGACAATGCCGTAATTTATTGCTTTTTCCCCAGCTTATTGGCTAACTTTGACCGGCTTCGTGGTATTCTCGTACACATTTGCAACTTGGGAATAATTATGGTAACAACTTTCTCGCCACTTTTTTACACTTCTGTTGGAAGTTTTGGTATTGCACATTCAGTTCGTTTCGTTTTCCATTTCACTTTTGTGGTTTTTCTGGTAAGCTTCTCGTGCGCTGGCAGGGAATTTTACGGTTCAGCATTCTCCGAGTGGTTGAATCGAAAATATTCTAATGATTAGAAGAATTCTTTAATTTATTTTTCCCATTTTTATTCATTTGCAATTTTACTTGTTTTTAATTTATGTGCTACCATGGCAAAACACAATAACGCGCACTTATTTATTTTTCTCAATCTTAGCAAAACAGAACTAATACAGTCACATACACCATTTACGTGTACTCCTTAACGACTCGCCAAACCACCAAGCACTGCAATTATTTGCCTAACTCAGGCGTAGAATTTCTTAGTACTTTCATTTAACCACAGACGATTGCTTCTTTTAAGCAGCTGTGGTTAAGCTTAAGAGGCTAGCTTTTGTATATAATTACTCGGAAACAATTTTATGCCTTTTAATTTGGCCATGGGCAAGCAATTGTATTGCGAAGTCCCCTGTGCATGCGACGTCTTAGAATTTCACATAAAATTTGGGGCAGTTAAAGCTAATAAAAGCAGCTACAGGAAATTGTACTGTCACGCTTTGGTGCATTTGCTAAGATTTCAATTTGTGCTCTATCGTCTCGCCACTTTTGGTTGGTCTTTTAGGCGGTGGTGGTGTCGTACATGGCGTATGCGTGACAGCAATTTCGATGGTACGTGGGCGCCAACTGTTTGACATAAAAAGTGTTTGAAGTATGTTGATAATAAATTTTGATTTGGTTACTACGTTAAATCTGATTTTTGGGTCTAGGAGTATTTATAGTGTGAGTTATTTCTCATAGAACGGATTATCCGTTATCCTTTATGACATGTAACGCTGTATCTAACAACAAGATGATTTACAGAAATTAATTAAAGTGGGCGAAAATCAGCACTCCGGCTATAAGTTAGGAGAATAAACTACTTATCATCCCATCTGTAATATCATCGTTTACTGCAGAAATGGAATGTGGTATACTATGGCGCCAGTTTCTGGGGCTAAAGCCAATGCAAAGATTAATCTATTAAAGAAATATGCATATAGACTTACTAAGATGACGTAACTAATGCCATTTATTTAATTTGGTATATAGTAAAATATTTACTGTTAAAGGTTTGTTGAATTTGCACGCACAAAATTAAATTTGCTTTGTAAAGTCAAAAAAATCTTCTCTTTGAGAAGCTTCGAAAAATCTGGAGAAATTTAGATAGAAATTTCTTGGTTTCTATGTTAAAATCTTTTTGATTTTAAGCAATAATAGCTTCTAAATATGAGGGAATTTTTTCATGGTAAAATCAATTTTACGGCTTCGAACCATCTAGCTAATAGCAGTAGGGCAGAAAATGTTTCCTTCATATGTATGTTTGCATGTACTCTGTATATGGGAGGATGTACATTTATGCATATACATACATATGGTTGAGAGCATAAAGAACACGGAATTTTAGAACCGTTGGAGCATTCAGAAATATAGAATGGTGTCGCCGGCAGTATCTAAGGTGTTGAGTTAAAATTTTATTTCAAGTAATGTATCGCTAAGTAAAAGGTTTTTTAATACAGGGGTTTGCATGTAATAATTATGGTCATATTTTGTGTGCATAGGTAACGCATAAAGATGTATATAAATTTGTTTAGGAAATAACTATTATTTTAATACAAGCAAATTAGACAATATTGGAATATATGACTTCAGATGCATTAATACACTTATGAAATTTTACATTGACACTTTCTAATTGCGGAAAAGGAAACTGATTTCCCTATGTGAACAGCATTAAACATTTAGTTTTGAGTGTTATAAGAATTAAAAAAAAAAATAATTTGTTTCATAACTGAATACCTACTAAGCCACCAATTTATTTTTTATTTATTCAATTTCACCGTGCACTGTGTAATCGTTTATAGTATTTATGACATCAATTAAAAATTTATTTATATTTGATATAATTTTTTTATTAGAGGCTTTTTTATGTTCCACCTGTAATGTAATCAAAATTTTCAATCAATTTTTATGCAACATCCCGAGGAGGTAGAGACTTGAAATTTTAAATGTGGGAATGTATATTACCTAATTGAAAAAGAATAACTGCACAAAAACGGTACCCGATAGGTGGCGCAGGTGTTGAGATATTTGGTAAACCCGCATTTATTGTCCGATTTGCTTTATATTTTGAAAAGAAATGACTTCGCCAAAAAATTAACCCTTAGATCTAGCGGAAGTCAATTTTTTTATTTACCGTTAATAAAATCTTGTCTTTAAAAAATTGTTTTTAAATTACTTGTTTATTTTTTAAGATTTCATGTCGTTCTTCTTAAATTATTTGTCCGTATAATGCATTTGCAATCCAAACAAATAATGTTGCCATCGCAATATATTAAACCATCGAATTTTTTTTTGTTTAAACGTATTTTTATTAACTTTTTAGTTATTATTTATTATAAAAATTTCTTTGAGAAACGAAAATTTGGGGCATGTCCTGAAAAATTACTACTTAAAGAAACTTTGTTGACTTTTTGGCATTCATTTACTCAGAACGTTTTACAATAGCAGTGCTCTTGGTTTTGTTATAGTTTCTTCAAAGTTGCATGTAGACAAGAAAAAATGAAAATTTAAGTGGGGATTTTCGTTGGGTGGTTGTTTACAACTGGCAACATGTATTTATACAACAACACTGCATCGATTAACTTTTTTGGACCAGGGTCCTCTTTAACAAGTTGGGCACATGTGGATAATATAAATCCTAGGACTATTTGGTTAAAACAGGAAAAATGAGTGGATAAAAAATTTTAATTTATTAAACATTTAACGGTATAAATACTTACAGTAAATTAATTAGTTATTGCAATATTATTCGGAAAGGTTACTTTGTTAGCATTGAGAGGTTCGTGCTTATAAGTTTATAGTGATTGAAGAAATATGGAAAATCGTTGATCACTTCTTCAAAATATATGTCTTCGAGCACATCACATTCAAGCCCTGCTTGAAGCATTGCACTTCATAAGTAATTTTTATGGTTTTAAAATTGTAAATTTCAAGCGAAAAACTAAATCAAACCGATTACTATTATCTTATTATGGTAAAAATGTGTATTTTTTAATTTTCTCTTTCGCCTTCATTTATACTGACGGCGCACAGCGTTACGACTATATGGAGGTAGATGACAAGAATAGTAAACGTGGAACGATTTCGCTGAAACCTGATATCCGCTCTAATTTGTCTTAGGTATAGAGAATTATGAAATATGATCAAGATTGGCTGTCATGCCGATTCCACTAAATTTAGTTTGTACTCCCTTGTATTAGAAAATTTCAATCACAGATTTGAAATCGTCAATAAAAATTACGCCAGTATCATGTAACATAAGAGCCATTCCACAACTGTGACTGGTGGGACATTTTATTCCAGAATGTGTTGGATTGTGGATTATGTGGTGGACACTGAAAAGAACTCTATTTTACCTTTGTGCACACAAAGAAGAATGTTCGCACAAAAACATAAATTTCGCGAAAAGTGTTTTTGTGTTGTGAAATACGAACTATGCGCTTTCGTTTTCAACACAACTTCTTTTGAGTTTTTAAATATTTTCCCACAGGTTAATGAAATGTAGTCATTTAGAAAGAGGTTACTACTGAAACAGAGATAATAAGGGTATGTCGGTTTCCTCTTTTTTGTGGAATGACCCATAACCTAACTATTAGAATTGCTGTTGTGCGGTGTAATTTTGACCCTGACAAGGAAATTATAATTATAATAATTGTGGGGGCTTATTAAGAAGCATTTGGTTAGAATAAAAGAAAATTCGAAAATAGGAACATAAGAAAAATGCCAAAAGCTTGCGAACTCCATGTGGGACATAATTTCCGCCGTTGTAAAAGCCCAAGGCAAACATACCAAAATCCAACATACTTGATTGCTTTTAAAAAGTGCATCAACATTTTTATTTATTAGATAAGTTTCAGTATTTTCCTGAAATCAAAACTTTTTAAGTTATGCTCTAATTTTTCACACAACCATATTTAAATAATAAATTACACTTTAAGGGTTAACAAGAATATTATTATTTTGCAGTNTACTTGATTGCTTTTAAAAAGTGCATCAACATTTTTATTTATTAGATAAGGTTCAGTATTTTCCTAAAAACAAAACCTTTTAAGTTATGCTCTAATTTTTCACACAACCATATTTAAATAATAAATTACACTTTAAGGGTTAACAAGAATATTATTATTTTGCAGGAGATAACGTTTATCCAAGTAGCGCAGTATATTAAATACTTAATTCACATCCCGATTCGCATAAACATATGAAACTTATAATTTTTCACAACTCACAATTGAAGTAGCTTTTACTAACTTCGAAGAAGTGTAAACTTTTAATATCAAATAAAAATTCCAATCAATTCAGGTTGAGTTAACTTCTTATCATAATCAATTCGTTTCCAAAACTACTTTCTCTACAACACTTCATTATACTCACTTTTTGACCAACTGTATATAATTTTTGATTGCATTTGGTCATTTACGCGCCAAAAATTTTTGCATGAAAACACACATTTGCACAGTTTTAAATTGTGAAATGCACTTTTACGGCTACACAAACTTCACTACACACTTTAATAAATACATACATATGTATATGCAATATATGCGAAAATCGACGGAAGTACACATGAAAATCTGAGCGCATTTATTTGCTTTGAAAAAATTTACGAGCGTTTTCACACGTGTTGTTTCAACAAGATTAAGCGACAATAAAGAAGATGAAATATCCCCTTCAGTAGTAGAATGTTTAATTCACCGGCCAGTGAACCCATCGTTTTACCGTTTTCCGTGCGCTTCGTGAACCGAACACGTTCGCAAGTTAGCGTTAACTGAAATTTTGTAACCCGAGTAACCGTGAAATGGCAAATTTTAAATGTGGTTGGCGGTGGGCGCTTATGTTAGTGTACAGGATATCAACGAAAATACTGTTATCCTGCGTCTTTAAATTTAGGACTGTTGTTTAACATAGATATTGCGATTCGTGATACTCAAATCGAACTTATTAACAGTCACCATTTTCATTCGGCATGCATGAAACATTCATTAACATTGTCAGCTTTTGTGACGAAAAGTATTACTTTTAAAGAAAGGCGTCTGGAAAAAATGGTTAGTGTTAGTACATTGGCCATTTGGCAAGATAACAATAGATATTTTAGTAGTACGAATTACAGCATTCACTTTTGCCATATTTCTGTTACCAACAGTGGTAAATGTATAAAATCGCAAGGCTATTCGGCATATGCTGAAATGTTTGTGACAAATAAAAATAATAAATAGAAAAGTGAACAGAAGAAATAAATATACAAATTATATTGCAAAACTACCTACATGTATATATATATTTTTAACAAAATTTTGCAAATTTAAAGCTCTTTTGAAATGAGAACAGCTATCCCTAGTAATAAAAGCGTCTAAGTAAATTAATAAGTTTTTTATTGATAGTATTTAGTTATTGGTCATGTTTTTAATTTCCTGTGAAATAACTATGTGTAAGTCACCAGTTGAGTGGAAAATATATTATTATTACATAATTATAGAAATATTAACCGCTTGTACCCAATTAAATTGCTAACTGTTATACCACGGAGGGACTATAATATCTTCTTTCTTTAAAGCAAACCATATATGTTTATAATTAAATCAGCAAATTCGAAAAGGGCACATGTCTGAGTATTAAAACTTTTCAGGAAGTAAAAACAACTAATTATTTTCTAAAGAGGTATAATATTTGAAAAAATAATATTTGTTTGATTTTCGAGGCCAATTATCAATGGAAAGTTTAAGAAATGTGTATTGTGAATGTTTATATATATATATATATATATATATATATATATATATACATAGATATTTTAAATTTGTGAAATGTGTCCTTTTCGAAATTTATGGTATTGATTTCACATAATTCAAAAAAAAAATCATATAAGTTTGAAGGAACTTTTATTTTAGGCATTTAAATTTAAACACAGTACTTCAATTAAAGATAATTGGCAGATTTTTCTAAAAATCTTCTTATGGCGGCTCTTTTTCATTTAGAGTTGGCCATTACGGTATTTCGTCATAAAATTCTGTAAATTCTGCTGAAATGTATTGTTTCACTTTTGCAATATCTGCTCGACTTGGTAAATTACTGCAAGTACCTTTCACATTAGAAACAACGACCGCAAGCGACAGACAGCATCAGTCAAATTTTCAATACACACGTTTTTATGAATGCACAACATCTTGTCCACAGCACTGCAATTGCCGCCTACGCCAAAAAAAAAAATTATTTCTAATTTTGTCGACGATAATGAGCAAATTTAGTGATGTAATATATAAAATCTTAAAATTTTCAAAATTTTAATAACTCTTAAGTTATTTAGCCGAAAAGGCATGAAATAGCTTATATTTAAAATGTTTATCAAATAAATTGATTTATTTTTTTTCTTTTTTTGCAAACAAAATTTCACTTTTAGCAAAGTATTTTTATTTTATAGAATTTAAATATTTTCAAGTGGCTATGCTTGCTGCCGTTTTTAAATAAGCAATTAATTCGAAAAGGGCACATCTCTTATGAGTTGAGCCGTAACGTTGATAGTAATACCAATACCACGTTGTGCTTTTTTCAATCTTAGATGAAAAAAATATGCGAGATGTGCCCTTTTCAAAATTGCCTATTCAATTAAAGAAATAACTGTTTTATATTGAACATACACTTTTGCATTATTAAATATACAACATCTACATTTACATACAATCATTGTGGGAAAGCTTATTTTGAGAGGAGATTGGGGTCATTAAAATCTTCCTCCTTCTTGAGTCCTTAAAACAGCCTAAATCGAAATTTCTTCCTAATTTTTTATTTACTACTCAAGTTCGAAGAGTGATATAAATATTGATGAAGGGATAATTCGGTGACCTAGAAGTACCGCTTTAGTGTACTTAATTCTGTTAACTCTATTCTTACCAAACCAAATACAACTATGCTACAGCTAATAAAACGAAACACATTAGTAAGCGATGCATTTTTTCCATGGAACCGTATTAATAAATTAATTAACAAACAAAATTAAAGCGACTACTATTTGGACCGAACTACATGTTGATGTTGATATTGTTGGCATGGAAATGACTTACGCTGGCAGGTAAGTGAATTAAGCAGATTTCAATGGAGACTTTTGAACTTTAATTAAAAAACTCTAAACCAAACATCATGCAATAATTTGCTAGTCTAAGTAATGCGCTTGCCGTGGCGTATGAGTGACAAGAATATCTAATATCAATTTCAACATTTACTCCGGTCAAACAGACATTTTAAGGCGCTGTAACTGTTTTCTTTAATAATTTGTTGTGATTTTTTTCTAATTCATGCCTTTTACTTACTTCTTATTTAAATGATCGTTACTACTTATTTTAGTAAGGATTAGACATGGATTAGACAAGGATATGAAGGTATAAGAAGGCTGCATGTGTATGTACAAAATGCGCGTATTCTGTTCAAGACATTAAACACATAACATCCCCAAATCAGGAGTTTGGAACGAACAAGGTAAATTCTGGTTTTTAGCTTTCGATACAAGACTCCTTATTTTTAAACAGTTAAACAAACAACCTTCCATGTCAAGCTTACCAATTTTAGCATTGCTTTTAGTTTCCCTTTTAAAAGTTAAGCTCCTTTCTGTATTCAACAAACACTTCCTTATTTTGTAAATCTGTTCAGCAATGTAGAAACTCATCAACAGAGTAACTTGCATGTCCTGTTAATAGAGCTTCTGGCAGAAATTGTTAATAAAATGAGGAGCCGCAATTGTTAATGTTAAACACTTTTAGTACTACATATTAAGCTTTTAAATTGATAAGTAGCAATTCACCATCTCGTGATGATAAACACAACAGCGGAAAATTAACTCGCCACAAATCTCCACAAAACAAATCTCACCAAAGTCAATCAGAACTATAAAAACTAACCAATGAATTGTAAGAATACGCGTGCTGGTCTGATTACGTGGCAAGTTTGGGGCAGCTGATGTATTCAAACCAAAATATAAAAGGATTTACTTACATTCTGGTTACTTACAATAAAGTTTGGAGTGGTGAACTAAGAAATCCTTGTACAGGTAGACAATCGGAACAGGACTGTACTTATCGATGGTCTTCTGATATAACGACAGAACTCAAAACTAAACGTATTACTGTTAAGTTACTCATGCCTCTAATCCTTTTCTAATCCATATATAATCCTTATTAAAGTAATTATTAAGGATTACTAAAGGAAGTAGTAAGAATCAGACATGGATTAGACCAAGATTACATACATGAGGTTCTTAACAGTAGTAACGGCTTAGTTTTTTGACTTTCGAATTGTGTCGTTATTGCATTCTTTAGGAAAACAAAATTATCGAAAGCTAGTTATTCACTGTTTTTTTTCTTGACCTCCTCTTGTGCCATGCTGGTAAAATTACTTTTAGAATAAATGTCAATGGTACAAAGCTTCCGCAGAAAATTTGTCTATACATTTTCTGCTTCTTCTATTCTTAGCATTAGCATACTCTCAGGCGTATAAACTTAGATTCCACAAGTTTTCGGTGTAAAAACTGTTAAGAATGAATGTACGAATGAATTGTAAATGAATATGAGAGAAGCATTGCAACAGGTGCTAGTGTTAACTTATCAAATGTTTTGTTATCATGCATCCAAAACTGTATGTCTTTACATGCGGATATACTTATGTGTTTCTGTCCTTGCACATTTTTATATATATACATATTTATATAAATGTGCGCCTTCTTATTTTTTGAGTTAGGGATGCAGAAATGACCGCGAGTCTTTCATTTATGTTGGTTAAAAACGTTTGACTTATGTTGTCTGATAATACACAATTTTTTTTTCTTGGAATCATATTGAACGTGGGTCTTAAAATTCAGATGATCATCAATCAAAACGAGATATTTAACTGTGGGCTTGGATGTGATGCACACTAAAATTTATCGTTTCTATAGCTTTCCTGCTGCTTATTAGGATTGCCTCTTTTTGATCATCGAGGCTTAAACTTACATATGTATGTGTAAACGGATATAATTATGTATGAATCAAAAGTATGTAAAAAAAAAAATTTATAATTTTTTGAACTTTGATTATTTTTGAAGGGGCAATTTTTTTTAAGACAATTTACAATAATACTAATTGAAACTACCTTCTTTTTATGCCATGCTAACACATATTTGAGGAGTTTTTTTTTCGGATATATGATCTGTCAAAGTTCGAATTATTTCGTGATTATGATCATTCATGTACTTTTTCAAATCATAATACCTCGGGTTCTTCTCATCTCAGAGACTTCATCTTACCGTCGTTTTAAAGCTAAAGAAACGGGCTTGATATTTCTGTTTGGAAGATGGTCATGATTGTCCTAAAGCTAACCTAGCTAACTTGTTGAAGTTGATTTGCATAGTGAAGACCATCGTAATCCTTGTTAAATTATCTATAAAAACATGGTTCCAAAAAATGGGCGTCTACAAGAACCATTTTTAAAATGGTTTTTTTTTATAACGAGATGCTTCATTTTTTGAGAGTCCATAATTTTTGTAATTCGTTTTCGAAAACTTATAATGAGATATGTATATTTAGCAAAGCGTTAAAAATCGCGGTTTTGCAAAAATTTAAATTTTATTGTGGATTCCGATAGAATACGTATCAAGACATAATATTTGTATGCAAGTTTTTTCTTTAAGGCGACGAACGTTAGAAATGGGCGTGGAAATTGAAGAACTAAAGTTAGCAAAACGCATATTTTATTGCGGATTTCTGCAGAATATCTAAAATTTCCGTTTATACATATGTGCGTCTTTGTAATATATTTTAAGCTGCAATTTATTTTGATTAAGATTAAGATTTGAAAGCCGAGTTTTTCGTATCTTTTAGCTACGATCTACATACCTATCTAATATCAAAAATTTGCGCATATCTGTGACAAAACCTTTTATGTCCTTCATATAGTAATGTATTTGCATTTGTGTATTTATGTACATATTGGTCCCAATGGTATTTATGAATAAAAATCTAAACTTTCAGACCTTTTACTCGATTTATACATACATTTATACATTTAAGTAAAAGGTTCGAAATTTTAAGAAAAAGCAATTANGTATTTATGTACATATTGGTCCCAATGGTATTTATGAATAAAAATCTAAAATTTCAGACCTTTTACTCGATTTATACATACATTTATACATTTAAGTAAAAGGTTCGAAATTTTAAGAAAAAGCAATTGCAAAATTTTTATTCATACGTCCCATTATTGTAAATACATATTTATTTGCATATTCGTATAATCCAATAGATACACGTACATAAATGAAAGTATTTACGTGCACATGAAATTTTCATATTTTTTGATAATCCATTGCATGTCGTTGACAGTGTGACAATGGCATTTGTGACAACTTTATTGCTACTTTGGCAAAAAAGAACTCTCAAATATGTAATTTTATACTTTTAGAACTTAAAATACTTTAATGGGATTTTTTATTTAAGTCCTGGCGTGACATATTCACATTCTTCTTTATTTTCATTCCAAATGTGTGAGATAAACAAGCACACTTTATTTATAAATAGTGAGTAAACACATACATAATATGTATATGCATATTTGCTTCCAGGTAAGCGAAGACAAAGAAAATAAACTAAGCTCTTATGCTATTACAAGTACAGTAAGCTCCCATAACATACAACAACCACTGTCCTGGTAAAAAAAATTTAACTTCATAAAAAAAATTCCTGCTTCCCACTACCTGCTACCGTGCTGTTTGGTGTTTTAGTTGAATCCCTATGAGCCAACACAGTGTTGCCAAGCTTTGAATTTGAAAAAGCACTAAAACCCAAGAAAAATCGCGCTTTTCCCTAAAAAAAACACCAAATTTGTATTGGAATATTTAATGCACTTTGTATGCATGAAACAAGGTGTTGTAAGGATATCGACTCAAATTAATAAAAAAACAATATCTTCTGTTTTCTATAAATTCAGATAATTTCGTTCAAGCGACGTTGAGATTCTTGTTCTTATTTTCTAATTTGCAGTTGTGTCCAGCGTTACCGTATCGCTTAGATGGAAGCAAAATTGATAAATTTTTCCTGACTGGTTAAATGTTAAAATTTTCTTCATTTTGCTTAATTTTACAACAAATCCTATCAAACGAAAGAAAAAACCAGAAAAGAAGCTTCATAAACTATGTGGTAGATTAAATTGCAGACTCTTGTGAACTAAGGGAACATAAAGAACCTTTCTTTCTTATTTGAGCGTAAAAAAATTTTTGTGTCAAAAAAACTGTGTACAAATCCCAGTCGATTTGGATTATTAGATATTAGTTTTACTGTTAGGAGATGCTGCTGCTGTTTTGAATAGTCGTAACAAATATAACAAATTCAGCCCAAACTTAAGGTCTAAAGAGTGATTCCTGGTCCCAGCAATTTCGAATTACCGAATGTAATTTTGCCATAATTGAAAGTGCTGCCACATATTTCGTTGGTAAACATATGCTCTCTCGCTTATGATTGCCATTGTGACATGATTTTGTTTAAATTTTTTGTGAAGTTTCTTAAATTTTGCCCACCTTTTTGCTAAGATTTATAGATTTGGTGTCTTCAAATTAAAAAGAAAATCACCAAAAAACGCACCATGCACTAAACTCTTAAATTTTCACGTTTTGAATAAAGAAAAGCACTACATTTAATGCGAAAAGCACCAAGATGTGCCAGCACCGCAAGGAGTTTTCTACTCAGCGCGCACTCGTTTCCACTTCCCAGTGGAAGTTGAACTGTTTTTAGCAATTTTGAGCGACCCCTTCCTATACTTGTCATTATTATAAATGTTGTGGATGTATCTTCTCAGTAAACAATTGATGCAAAATATGTGTAAAGGCTCGTCCACATTAAACATTGGCGTCGCTTTGACAGCAGAGCTATTATTAGCAGCGAATACTTTGGTCACTAAATCAACATACTAGTGGCAAATAAATAATAAATCAAAACTTGATATCAATGATTGTACTGAAAACTACATTTATTGTCCACATTTAATTAACAAGGAAAATTATTTCACATAACTTTTGTTATTTGGAACAGCTGACGATCGACTCACGCGAAAAGTTTGGAGTTGGCCATCTTTCCGTTTTGCTTTTGCGTTGGCATGGCCCAACTTTGGTTATGTGGAGACTTTCATATAAATGCATGTATTCATAGTCAGCTGTCGAAGCGCCAACGCCAACGCCAACGCCTACGCAACACCAAAGTTGTATGTAAACGAGCCTTAAGAGTAAATACTTTACTATCGTGTGGCATCGTAGAACGATGATTTAAATATTTACCCTAGTCAAACTACACCCCATGAATAACTCAGTGAGAGCGGAGACCAATATGTTTGTATGTATTTATAAAGAAAAAAATTTATTGAAGTAAAAATGTTGGGTAGGCACTGCGACCAATGTTAATCATCTTTTACCACCTCTGCATGATTGTAAGTCATATAGAGTTCGCAAGAAACTCCGGAAGCATACTTTGAAATGCCATAAAGTTATAACTAAAGAAAATTTTATTAGATGACAGTTGAAAAGTGCATGTTCAAAAATTTCATAAATTTATTTAAGGAAATTTGTGCATATGCAGCAGTACATAGCATAAATTATTCGCGCCTAAACACCCCGTTTTTATGATTTAATTGATTTTAGTCTGATCAACGCCCTAAGTAAATGAGGAATATTTTTAAGCTTTAAGTACATTGTCTACATTATGAATATATGAATATGTTTTGGAAAGCTCAGAACGTAGGCTTTCACAGAATGTACACTACGGTGGTCCAAAATAAGTAAAGTCGGAATTTTAATGCTCTCATACCCCAAAAATATAACCCTATTTTTTATTTTGAAATCAAAAAATATTTAGAGTCGGTCAATGCGCTCAAAGTTTTCAATATATTTTATATGGGGAAACAATTACTTTTCGTAGAAATTGTATAGAGCTGATGAAAATCAATATTTTTCAATCGGAATGCTCTAGTTCTCTTCAGGATAGTTCCAATAACAATACCCAATTAATTAAATGCAAATATAAATCAGTTTGTAGTGTATGTATATATCAGTATCAGTGTGGGAATGTAACGCACTTTACGTCGTTTAGTACGTTCCTCGCAGCTATGTACCGAAAAGCTTTAGTGGTCTTCCAGCATTAGAAGTTGTCAGCTGTTGGTCTATATCAAAATTTTCTTCATTCTGCTCTCCAAAAACAATAATTTGTTGAAGCCAGTCTCCATTATTCTTTAAGAACCTGCAATGGAATCAAATGCTGGTAGAAAATCAACAACAACAAAGCATTCAATTTACCTATCCTCTCGTTCGCCACGGATGAGCATTTT